ATTGAATAGTACTTAATCATATAATGTCTAGATGCATACCTTTGTAAAGGCAGGTGTTCTACAAAGTTTAAACAACCTTTTGTTTACAACCAAGCTTCTAGGGCTGGGAAGGTGGCTCAGTGGTAGAGCGCTTGCCTTGCATGCATGAGGCCCTGGGTTCAATTCCTCAGCACCACATAAGCAAAAAGAAAAAAGCCAGAAGTGGTGCTGTGGCTCAAGTGGTAGAGCGCTAGCCTTGAGCTGAAGGGACAGCGCCCAGGCCCAGAGTTCAGGCCTCATGACTGGACCAAAAAAAAAAATTAAAAAAAATATAAATAAATTATAAAAAATTATGAAACATTTGATATTTGATCAAATAATTATTTTGTCCCTTGTTATCTAGAACTATTAATATTATTATACCATCCTTTTGAAAACCTATTGTGATTCATATACTTAACATATGTGATCTCATTCTCAAGAATTTTATAAAATTGTGGAATTTTTGGCTAAAATTTATTACTTAGAATATGTGCTATGTGGTTCATATGAATTCTCTAATTGTCACCTCACTATAAACATGTGAGGAAAGTACTCTTGTTAGTACCATACTATGTATGAAGAAGAAATAGAGATTTTTTTAGGAGATTGAGAATGTTTACCACATCTATAGACTTTGTAAATATTGGAACACAGATTGAAGTTTGTATCTTTTTTCTTTTCTGGAGTCCACATTCTTGCCTACTAAGTATCTGGGAGAACACATAGAAGATTCGAGAATACAAAGCAATGAAGCATCATGACATATTTGCTCTAAGAAACACTCTAATTGAAAAGAAGGATAAGGACAAAGTAATAGGATGAGGAAAGCCAGTAAGCACAAGGGTGCATGACATCTATGTATACATATATGTATGCATCTATGTTGATTTTTCTGGAGTGTCCATGGTGGTTGGATCTCTATCCAGTAAGGTATTGTGAGACAAAATGATCTCAATGAGGATTTATAAACTAGGAATGACAAGGGGTTGGCTCCAGGGAAGATTACATCCTATTAATAACCTAGATCTTTGAGAACACCTGGTTTTATGCACCTAACCAATTCCACTTAACAGTTCATTAAGTCATCTGTTTATTTGTGATAGGCCCTGTATAATATGATGCATCTACAGATAACGCAAAGTATCATGGTTTGTGTCGTACTCTGGAAGTGACAAGAAGCCATGATAATTTGAAACTGATTTTCTTGGGTGTCATATTCTTCCCAAGTCTAATGGTAATGCTATATTCTCAAGTAATAATGATAGGAGACATATCTTTTATTTAATATTTGCTTTATAACAGGGGCAAGATCAGTAGAACATCATATCCTATGTGTACAAATCATAATAAATAGCTCTACAATTACTATATAAAACAAGTGATAAAGACCAAAGCAGATTTAAAATGTGGTAATAGTAGGGCTGTGGCTCTAGTCTACATTTGTATTTCATACGCACATGTATAAATCTTGGGTCCTCTTTGAAAGATATGAGTTTTTTTGAGAATGAGTATATGTTTTTAAAAATCTTTACTTTCTCAGTGTCTGTCACTATTCTTAGCACTTCATAGATGTTCAATAATTGCTCATTGTGCAGAGATGGGTTTCAGTTAAGATGTCAATGCTTTGCTACCCGTTTCTGCACTTGTTAAAATATATAACATGAGAAGGTATAAATATTAATTCTTCAAGTTTAGTATGTTCTTAGCATTCGTGAAATTATAAAAAAAAAGTGGTAAAGAAGCAAAAATAAAATGCAACGAAACCATTAAGATTCCAATTAAACAAGATTAAGACATGGAATAATTCACATGAGTTATTCATGAAAAAAAACTCTTTTTCAGGGATAAAAATACATCTCAAAATCAAATTATGTCATCATTGAGGCAGGTGGTTACTATAGCAGCAAAGAAAAAAAGCAACAGTAAAATTAACTAAAGGTTCTCAAAGATAAAAATATGTAAAGTAGTCAAGATTCGTGAATTAGAACATTAGATAAAATGTCTGAATGTACATGTGCTGTGTGTCATTCTCAGCTTCAATGCCATATAATCCCAAGAGCCTATATGTCCAGAAAAGTGCTAGACAATATGTAGCACTAATTGGATTTCTTTGACTACTGTCGATGCTACCAGCTGTCCTCACACAACCATCAGGTTCAGTATAAATCAATTCTCAAAGAAAAACATTTTTTCCAGAACCAAACATTTCATTTATTTCATTGAAACTTCAAGTCTACAAGTCCTCTCACTTTTCCAGGGTCTTTGGGTGAAGAAGAGAGTATAAATGATGAAACAGGAACTTCATCTATGCCTCTGGAAGATCTAAAACTCCCAGGAGCACAAAACATTACCAGGGTAGAGAAATATCCCAGGGAGAATTTTTATCTTGACCAATCAATATACAATGTGTGTGTGTGAAAGAGAGAGAGAGAGAGAGAGAGAGAGAAAGAGAGAGAGAATTCTTTTCAGAAAAATGACCTTTGTTAACTGAAACTTGTATAGTAAAAAACTGGGATTAGAATGACACCAGCACAACAAGCTCTCTCAACAACAGCTCCTCTGTAATTCTCCTCCTTCACAAACACATATCCAGATCTCAGAGCACAGTTTTAGTTTTACTGAATGAAAAAGATGCACAAGACTATGTTTCAGGGTGAGTGGCTATAGAGACTCCTTGGTTCTTGGATCACTCTCTAAGCAGCCATGATCTAAATAAATGTGGAAAAAATATTGGAAGAATACCTCATCTGGTGGTTTGAAAATGCACTAAATGTTCATGAATGTCATAGCCCATATTTACGTATTTCCAGTTAAAATGGAAGTGTTCTTAATTTTTTTGTCTCATCCTTTTCATCAAAATCTCTTCCAAGAAAAGTTTTAGAATGCCCTGTCATAGAGATAATAGGTACCCACATAGCCCCTGCTGTCTTGCTGATGAGAGCACAGACCCAGGAGTCTCTCAAGTGTTCATCATTAATGTTGAAATGCTGCCTTGCCTATGCTAAGTGTCTTTAACTTTTCTATGATTTCACCAAAACCTCTTGTAGACATAGTTGTTGTCATTTAAACACAGACTAGATGGTACCATCTATTCTTATAAAGAACTCCTGGATAGTGCTGAATCGGGTAAATGGCATTATTTTCTTTGAGAACTATCCATGCAAGGAATACATGTGAACCTAAGATACTTCATCCAGCTGACCAGGAAATGTTGTAACAGCAATGAGAATATGCAAGGATCTTAGAATCACTGTATAATGATTTTAGAAATATAAAGCCAAGTGGGCAGGCTCTCTTTTAAGTGCTTCCTAAACAGAATATCATTCACTGTGGATTTTTATTTGTTATCAAAAGCTTATTTTTTATTTCTCTTTAGAGTTCTTTTTTTTTCTGTTTCTTCTCCTAGTCTGAAATGCTTTAATGTGAAGGAGTTCATTCTAGGAAACCGGTGAAGCAAACAAAAGACTCATGGAGCCATACTGAGCAAATGAAATCACATCTATTAATTCAGCCTTCCCCCACTTTCCTCCTTCTATCCACTACAGAAAGTTACAAGAAATAAACACAAAATGCAGATGGAAGCCTACTCATACAGAGGGAGTGTGAGGGTTCTTTTCTTTCTTTCTTTCATCCTTCCTTTTACATGCAGCAAACAAAATCCTCCATAAAGCTTCAAAAGCTCTCTGACATCATCAGTCCTTGACTGAGAGTCATTAAGTTGCTAAAGCCCAGAAAATCAAATTGTGTTTAGGACTTCTTGATAATCTAGTAACAGAGTAAAAGGTGATTCACCAATTAGCCCATGTAATTGGGTAATAGAAAACATGCTCTGTGTGAGCAGTGGGCACACAGTAGTCATTGCCATTCTTCATTGTTTTCTGATTATAACTACTTACGTTTGCCCCTGATCCCAGGTCCAGATTCCTCATGAAAGAGAATTCACAAATATCTGTGTTTCTGAATCAGATAAGTGAATCAATCCCTTACTTAAGCAGTTCATTTATATTACCCTTTTATCCTATGCCAGTTCCCTCTTGTCAGAGTCTGTATTGGGTAATTACAGTTTTATACTTAAATGATTGTCTCCTTAGCTGATTCCCAAATTCTAACAATATTGTCAGGACATGTATTAAACAAAGGAAGAATTCAATTTGAGAACTGTCTTGCTCAGAGATTCTTCTTGCCTGGTTAAGAAGAAATTTGTGAAAGAATAGAGACTGAATATTTGATAGATTCTTTAAAAGTCACTCTTCATAATTTTCTATGCCCATCTTTTGAAATCTAAGGTGACTGGCTTTGCTTAAAATACATGTATTTTTCTCAGTAAACTCAAATTGATTTAAGGCTTGGTTGAGAGTTTAAAACAGTTTCTCAGTAGAAAATCCAAACCATGTTCCACTTTTGTCTTTTCTTATTGCCACTAAAGTATATGGGCACAGTTTTATGGCCCAGGGCCTTCTCATTAATATAATAAAAGAACAATGAAAATAAATTACCTGAACTTAAGCCAATAAGGAAAATACATCTTAGATGACACAGTCCTTAATGCTGTTTTACTACTCTGAATGATATATACCTGTGCTGATTTTATCATTGACTTTTAAGGTCATATTTTAGTGTTATTTATGAATTTAAAAAGACATTAGAAAACAATTTCCCTTGTAGTTATGGCATTGCCCCTAGATGATTTGTTTCTTTCAAACTCATGATGCATATTTTATATTATTTTTCCTCCCTGTAAACCATAAATAAAATTCTAAACTATGTAACAGCCTTTGTCCATTTTGTTTTAGTCATATATTTCAGAAGACCTTAGATTATATTTCATTTAGACAAGAACATAATAATCATAAAAAATAAGAAAATGTGGTTGATTTATGGCCAGAATAAAACTTTAACTCTGAAACTTTTTTAATATACAGCATTTCCTCCTCCATATGTATTTAATACATATTAATATTTTTCTCTCTTATTTGCAGGTCAATGGGACAGAAATTGAATATGAGTTTGAAGAAATTACACTGGAGAGGGTAAGAAAAAATTTATATTCCAAGTCACAATTTTGCCTCACACATTCTAGTTCCTAATTGGTTGTCCTGTAAAATCACATGATTGTGTATCATAATCTGGAAATTTCTCACAGTACTCACAATGAAAATATTAATGGAATGCTTGCAGGCAGAGTATTGCGGCAGAAAGCCAAATAACCCTAATGTTCTGAATCTACACCACATCGTAAGGACCTGGAGAAATGAATTTATAAAAAAAAAAGAGAGAGAGAAATGTTACATGAGTTTATACTTTGTTTTTTTAAATTATTAGTCTACTGGCTATACCTTTCTAATATCTGATGCTTTATATTCTTATTTGTGTGACATTGATGTCATCATCAGAACTGCAATTACCATGCATCTTTTATTGAGAGAGAGGGAGAGAGAGAGACAAATTTTAAAACTACCCACTTAGAGAAAAATAGGGCAACTCTACAGAGGTCTGTGAACATTCTGGAAGGAATTTGGCAACTACTTTAGACAAATAAAGGAAACTATGCCACATGGACCTAATATATTTAGACATTTAACAAAGGCGTAAGAGAAAAGCCATAAGCTATCTAGAAAGTGACAAGAGGCATTAATAGGATATTTATCATTATTAAAAGGCAAATACACATGTAAAACTCTGTTGAGCAGCAATGAAAGACAATGACAGTAAGCAGATTTTCTCTCTAACTGAGAAACAAATGTAAAAGAATATTAGTATAGAGTACCAATGAGTGGTGCTGAAATGAGTATAACGCTAAAAGAGCAATTTAGTAATCTGGATCAAAAGCCTGCAGAATGAGCACACTTTTGTATTTACAATTTCTATTAGTAAGAATAGACAATTACAGAAAGATTGCTCATATTAGTATTGTTTATAATGGTGAAAGATGAAAGAGGAGTTTCATAAAATATTAGCATATATCATATAAATTGTATTAAATTTAATTAAATATTAAAATATATTTAAATAATATTTAGCCAAACACTTAACTGTGAGGATATGAGGTCTACCTAGATTGTATTTTTAAATTAAAAAATCATGTTTTAAAAGGATATTTAAAATATCAGATAAGCAGATAAATATCAGATAAGTGGTTCATGTCTGTAATCCTAGCTACTCAGGAGGCTGAGATATGAGGATTGCAGTTCAGAGCCAGCCCGAGCAGAAGAATCCTTAAACCTTATCTCAAATTAACTAGCAAGAAACTGGAAGTGGAGTTGTGGCTCAAAGTGGTAGAGTGATAGACTTGAGTGAAAGAGCTCAGGACAATACCTAAGCCCTGAATTCAAGCCATACTACCAACAAAAAATGTCAAAAGTGATGGCATCGTGTTAAGAATTGTTGGATGATTTTTGATTTCTTCCTTTTGAGTGTCTTTAGTCTCCACATCAGTTAGAATAAGCATATAACACATTTATAATAAGCAATAAAATATAAGTGTTTTCCCATGAACCTTCATTCAAGTATAAATTAACACTCTAGACCTTCACATTAGTTCCCAGCTCCTTTGTAATTTACTGCTTATTCGCTTTCCTGAGTCAAGGGATTTCTCATTTTCAGCATAATTTTTATTGAGTATGAGTGTCTTTAAAAGGAAATTTACATTGGAAGTTAAGTGTTTGACAAATGAGGTCTTTAAAACTTCCATTATGGACTTTGATAAAAATTTAATGGCATACTAAATAGAGAAAACTGAAGCATATAGGAAATTAGCTCAAATGAGAGAACACACACACACACACACACATACTTTCTCTGTAAGATTTGTGATGTACAGCACAAAATGAAAACGTAAAAACTTCTGTTTTTCCCCCTCAAGCCAGTAAACACATTTTCTTATCCTGACCGTATGAGTCATAAAAGAATGAGAAGCTAACATTGGTATGAGAGAAAATATCCCACAGGAGAGGGAAATTGAGGAAGCTAGTGAGGGTTCTGATGCTTACTTGCTTCCTGATCCTGAGCACATTCTCTGATGTCTCTTGCTACTCCTAGGGCTACCAATCACCCAGGCACACTGGGAACACTGAAAGTTCCATTGACTACACCCTTTCCAAAGCCTGTTTGTCAAGCATCATCTTCTTTGACCAGCACCTCCTCTTGGTCCCTGTCATTTGTTGTAATACTCCCTCCCTTAAATACTTCAACTGCAATTCAGACCTAGAGACTGATTTCATCATTTTCCTCCACTTTTCTCTCTACTCTATTCCAGATCTTCTCTCTACCTAGAAAATACTGCCCTCTCATACACTCAGTATTTCTCTGCTCTCTCCCATTTTGTGTTTATCCAGCAAAACCTCAGACCTTCTTAATTTGACTTATTCTATGCCACCACCTCAGCACCAGGAAATGGCCAGAGAAATACTCCCTCATCACACTTCAAATTCTTAACCATTGGTTCATGAGAAACTCTGGCAATTCTTAAAATTTTCTGTATTTAATCTTTCTCATTCTTTGAGACAATAATTTCACATTTTAATTGTTCTCTAAAATCTCTCTTCCTTCATCTTCACTTTTAGCTGATAACTTTTCTTCAAATGTCCTTGAGAAAACAAAATCCAATCAATCAAATGGATACCACCTCATCTTTCTGAGCCAGTATGTCCTTCTCAGGACAGGGAAGGCATTTTCCACCTTCTTTATAAGACCATTCTACAATTACAATCTGGATGTCACAAACTCTTGTTTACTTGATGACTTCATCTCTGTAATTACCTTTTTCTACTCTGTATTATTAATTTCTCTTTTATATTTTCCTGAATACCTTTAACCCAGATATGATATAATATCTCTTTTCTTTTTTTGGAAGCATAATATTTTATTTTCTTTCTTTTTTATTGTGAAAATACCATACAAAGGGGTTACAATTACATGGGCAAGGTAATGAGTGCACTTCTTGTCAAGCATTGTTGCCTCCTTCTTTGTTTCCCCTTCCCATCCCTTCCAATACCCTACCCCCCATGCCAAAGTTGTAAAGCTCATTTTCGACATAACATCTTGTACATCTCATTGTTGCAATGGGTCCACCCATATCCCTATTTAAACAATTTGTTTTTCCCTTCTCCTCCCCAAATTATACCAACATCAAATACAGTGAAAGCAGGGGTTATACCATGGGAAAGGGACATACAAACAACAGAGAAATATCTTATAAATATGTTAGAAACAATATCAAGAAAGAAAAAAAATTTGAGTCCTTATCTTGGGGCTCATTTCGCTTAACAACAGATGCTGGAGGGGATGTGGACAAAAAGCAAACCCTACTGTATTGTCAGTGGGAGTGTAAACTTGTTCAACCACTTTGGAAAATAGTATGGAGGTTCCTCAAAAGACTCCACATAGAGCTCCCCTATGACCCAGCAATCCAACTTTTGGGCATTTACCAAATGATCACAAACAAGAACATACTAAAGCTACCAGCACAACTATGTTTATCATATTATTCACCATAGCTAAGATATGGAACCAACCCAGAGGTCTCTTAGTAGATGAATGGTTCAAGAAAATGTGGTATATCCAGACGCCGGTGGCTCACGCCTGTAATCCTAGCTACTCAGGAGGCTGAGATCTGAGGATTGAGGTTCAAAGCGAGCCCAGGCAGGAAAGTCCGTGAGACTCTTATGTCCAATAAACCACTAGAAAACCGGAAGTGGCGCTGTGGTTCAGGAGGTAGAGCCACGCCTTGAGCTAAAGAGCGCAGGGACAGCCCCCAAGCCCAGAGTTCAAGCCCCACAACCGACCAAAAAAAAAAAAAGAAGAAAGAAAAAGCAAATGTGGTATATATAGACAATGGAATACTATCGGTGGCATCGCCCCATTTGTTAGGAAGTGGAATATTTGGAAAAAATGATATTAAGTGAAGTAAGCCAGGCCCAAAGAAACACAGGTCCCATGGTTTCCCTATAGGTCTGAGACAAGTAGAAATGGTCAGATAAGTTGATGTTAAGCAAAATATCTCTCTTCTTTAAAAGTGTCAATGAACCCAATGTTTCTCTGCTACTATTGTTTCATGAACTAATTTACTTAATCAAGTCTAGGAAAAATTTGCATATTCATTAACTTCACTATATTACCCTATTGGTTGTTTAACCTATTTCATGCATATACCCTGACAGTCATCTTAAAATTATCTCTGTCAAAAAGTTATGGCAGGTTCCATCTTGTGAAGTGCAAGTATTAGTCCTCAGACCTACCTTCTCAGTAGCATGTCATGCAGTTCTCATCCTTCCTTCATCAAAGATGTTAAATTTTGCCTGGTGCCAATCCTTTACCCAGGAGGTTGTGATCTGAAGATTGCTTCTTGTGAGAAGACTCTCTTTAGTTCATTAGCACATTTATTAATGGAATTGTTGGTGTTTTAGGGTTTAGGTTTTTTTAAAGTTCTTTGAATCTGGATATTAGACTAAAAATATATATGAGATAAAGACCCCCAAGTAGCAAAAGCAATTCTTAGCAGGCAGAAATAATTCTGGAGGGATAACAACACCAAACTTCAAATTCTGATTTAGAGCAATAATAATGAAAACAGTTTGATACTGCTAATAAATAAATAAAAATAGGCCAATGGAACAGAATAGAAGACACCGAAATAAACTCTCAGACATACGGTCACTCAAAATTCAAAAGGGGAGCCACGATCATAAGCTGGAAGAAAGACAGCCTCTTCAACAAATGGTGCTGGCAAAGCTGGGTATCTACGTGCAAAAAACCAAAATTAAATTCTTATATATCACCTTGCAGTAGCATGAATTTAAAATGGATGAAAGACCTCAAGGTAAGACGTTATAGGAAAAGTAGGGGGAAAATTAGGGCTCCTAGGCATAGGTAGAAACTTTCTAAATAAACATCCATGAGCAAAGCAAAGCAAACAAAAACTTGGTAAATGGAACTGCATCAAACTAAGGCGTTTTTACATGGCAAAGGACATAGACAACAAGCTAAAAAGACAGCCTACAGAATGGAAAAAGATGTTTTTGCCAGCTACATA